CAGATGAATGGAGTTACTGGTGTTGAGTGTGTTTCACAGTACTTTGCAAATGCATGCACAGTATATAATCAGCCTGTAATTAATACATGTACACTGTGTATTTATTACTGTGTACCACTGGTTCAAGGACAAGACTCCCATTGTTTTAGCTGTTAATGGTTAGTCAAGGCGATCCCTTCGCTGCAATGTGTTTAGACCAAAATTTGATGATTTTGAAGGATTGAGGATGTGAGCACCACTCATTTTGAGCAAAGTACAAAAATTTTGATGATTTTGGAGGATTGAGGATGAATGCATTTTTTTGAAGTATAGCAATTTGATGATTTTAAAGGATTGCAGATGGTGCCAAGCAATTTGGGCTTAGGGGGTTAGGGTTAAGAGTTATGACCAGTATTTTAGCTACAATTTGAAAGGTGAGAGTGCAAAATGAAAAACAGGGAGTGCAATCTTGTAAGAGTCCAAAATCAGAAGCAGGCAACACGAGAGCACAGCGCAAAGTCCCTTACGCCAGGGATCCAGGGCCTGTGCCAGGGCCCTGGAAGTTCGGGCTCTTTTAGATGCTCTCGTGGGGTTTCTGATGAATTTCTGACATTTTTTTCATGAGAGTTTTGCCTTTTTCAAACAAAAAAAAAACAGCTTTTAGAAATAAACTTAAATTGTAAAACCTTCTGCAATTGGTGTTTCTTACAGTGTGATTAAACAGCCCTGCAACAAAGACGTGACTAATGACAAACACCTTTGAACAGATTTCTTAAAACCACTTTATTTTGTTTTCAAAAAAATGATTTGCAGGTAATGCAGGTCAGTAAAGTATTTAAAGTTGGCGTATTAGCCACACCGGCGTATAAGCCACATAGCATTGCTGACATTGTCACGTATATGCAAGTCATCACACATGCTGCACTGCTGAAGCACTATGTACTGTACATGTACTGTACATGTAGAGTAAAGTACAGTCCCTAACGTGGCACACCCCGACTTTCACTTGACTTTCCACAAACAGTGTCGCCGGCCAGCAGCTTGGGCTAGACTGTGCTGAGGCACAGCACAGCGGGGCGTTTAGTGATTTCATTTTTCAAATGTTGGTCTACATGTACAAGCTGCTCAGAGTATAAGCCGCAGGGACACTTTCTGGTTACTGCCATTGATATTTGAGAAGCCATCTGCAAAGGTTGACAAAAATGTACTAGTTCACATCTTAAAGAAAAAAGATTTGGTTGTCAATCAGCGAGGAGCAGGTCTGGCTACATGTACACGTATCTCTATTATATGTAAGCAATGCCCAAGAGAAATTATCAGAAACAGAACACAACATCTACAAGTATTTCCAACCAAATAAACAACCAGTCAGGCTTTACAGAAGGAGATATTTTCACAGGGTGTTTGAGGCAAGTCTCACAAAGTTCTCCTTCAGGAACAGTACATATGCAAAAGGACCGCAAGAGACCTTTACATACATGTACACGTATGAGAAACAGCTTGACCTCTGGGGCTGTGATTTTTGGACGCATCTCCTCTGAATATGACCTGCTCCAGTGCAGGTCATTCTTTGCACAGGTAGGCCTGTAGGCCTGGACTGCAAGGATCTGCATCTCAATCAGAAAGACAGGAATATTATGCTAATGCCAAATATCTTCATCCACTGTTCTACCACCAGGTTGACCTTCTGCCATCCGCATAGATAGATGACCTGGCTTTAATTAACGACAAATTTGGGGACCCTCTTTTGCATGTTTCCTTGGGGGAAAGGGTGTATGCATCTTAGGTTCAAGAGTTAGTTTAGGGTGTTTTTTTTCAATTACACATGCGTATGCTGTACCTGCTGTAATCCACAGCTCTTCTGGTAACTATTGATGAAATTATGACTTTCCCATACACTAAAAAATACACGTAGAAAGGGTTTTATTGCACAGTCTATAGACTTATTAAATCATGGTACGTGTCGGGGGAAACTAAAAACCTACATGTAGGGTGAGAAACTGTTTAGACAAGCAGTAAACTAGACTCTAGTCAACTTCCAAATGTATCTCAGCTGTGATGGTCATTACATGTCTGTATCTGTCAGATCCATCCAGTGATATATACAGAGTACTGTGAACGCTGTATGCCTGCACAGATTTCATCAAAAGGAGACACACTTAGATTATTCTGAGATGCTGTAACCTGAGCTGTAGCAGCACTCCCTGTGACACTGCCTACTGATAAATTATGTGGTAAGATAAGATATTCATGCTCTGTTGACATGTGAGAGCCCAAACGATTGAAGTTCCGCATCAAATCCAACTGGAGACTTTTTTTTCAGTGGTAACTATGGGGCTGAATGGAACGAATGAGATTTTTAAAAATCTCATGATTTTTGACGAATCTCTCTGAGCCACTCGAAAACTACATGTAAGGTCAAAATTATAAGGTCTGATTTTTTTTGCCAGAAACTTGGCCAGGCAAAGGCAGAAAAGTTGTCACCTTTCTGAAAGAAACCGGTACAAATGAAAAGTCACAGGTGCTGGTACTGGCAACTTTAAGGTTTTCTAATTGACACGGAACAATTGGCATAACACAATGACATGTACTAACAGCTTGTATTAATTTGTTCCTCTTTGAAATGTAATGGGCATATGTTAACCCGAGGCCTAATCCCCTAGGGTGTATGTATAATCATACTGAAATTGGAGAATTTGGGACTGCTATGGAAGCATCAAGCATTCCCATCAGTACGCCTACTGCATACTGTATTAAATCCTCACAGAACTTTTCCTTGTTCACTGGAAATTTAGTGTGCATAATACATGAACCAGCGACGTGCAACGTATGGTACTTGTACCTGCTTACAAGTTCACTGGTGGGTCCGATTGTGATGAACACATTGACTGCCGCGCATAATTTCAATGAGGCATTCTCGTTTGCCAAGTGCCGTACGCATGCAAACATATTTGACAGGTACCTTTCATGGGTCTATTTGAACATGTACATCCTTCACACCGCCAGCAACATATTTCATTGTCTTCTTCGGTGATGCCAGTGTATTCAATTTACATACCAATAGCCTACAATAGTATACTCGTAGCGGCAGAATGACGTACACCTGTGACTATGAGTATACTCGTAGTCGGCAGTCAACGTGTTAAACCATATCCATGTACCGGTATGCTGCTTGATTACACAATGTCCATGTACAGTGTACCAGTACATGTACCAATATACATGAGCGACCTCACGTTACTTGGTACCTGGATGTACACCAGTGAACTGTCAGAGATGCCCCTGCACTAATGGACATGGGGCCCTACGGCTAACTGCTGCCCATAATTACATAAGGGTAATCAGTCCCCTGTTA